ACTTTCAAAATCGTCAGAGACCTATAAAAGCTGATGAAGAATTACCTAAAACAATCATTTAATCAGAGCTTTAACAATCTGTTAACAAAATGTATGCACTACTGCTCTTTGTGCTTGTTGCAAATTATTTCAACTTTTCCATTACGAAAGCAGCTGTTCCCGAAGTTTGTATCGATCAATTGGGTTGCATCGAAGGTGTTCATGCAACAGACAGTGGGGGTCAACAATATGAAGCCTTCTATGGCATACCGTTTGCTAAACCACCAATCGGTGAATTGCGATTTAAGGTAAGTTTAAGAAAGCAAGTAAGAATATAAAAAATATAATATTTTATAGCGAATATCCTATTTTATTTATGTAATAGAATCCCTTACCAGTTGATCCATGGAAAGGCAAACTTATGGCCAAAGAACCGAGAACTGAATGCATTCAATATAACCAAATTCCAAGCATACCTACGATTAGTGGTAAAGAGGACTGTCTATACTTGAATTTGTATCGCCCCAAAGTAAAAAGGCGCTGAGACTTATTTGCTACAATTATTTTACCTCATCTTTGTTTTTTTGTAAATTTTAGGAAAGGTCCACTGAGAAACTACCCGTTTTGTTTTACATACACGGTGGAGGCTTGTTTTCGGGCACTTCAAGTCCCGCAGTAAATGGTCCTGAATATTTTATGGAAACTAATGAGGTTATATTGGTATTACCCGCGTATCGCTTGGGTCAATTTGGTGGGTATTTTCTCTAATTTTAAAGCTTACTCAAAAGGATTCTGAGTGAAAATTAATTGTTGTCTTTTGTAGGTTTCCTTAGTACCGGTGATGAGCATATGACTGGTAATTTTGGACTTAAGGACCAGAACATGGCCCTTAAATGGGTTCAAAAATATATTTATGCCTTCAATGGTGATCCTTCGCGTGTTACTATTTTTGGCCATAGTGCTGGTAGTATTTCTACGCATTTACACATGTTAAGTCCAGCTTCAAGAGGTACTTTTAAGCGTCACGCACTAAATCGACTCTGCTGGGCAAATTTAATGTAAAATTCTGCACTGTCTAAGGCTTTATCTTCACATTGATCATTATCTATAATATTACATGATAAAAACATGTTGAATAACTATTTACTAATCAAAAATACTACCCTTTCTAGGTTTGTTTCGCAATGCTGTATTAATGAGCGGCCAAGCAAATTCTCCTTTCATCCGAAAAATCGACCAAAAATCTCAGGTCATTCAATTAGCTAAGGGTGTTGGAATTACAAATGCTAACGAAATGTCCTCAAGTGAACTAGCTGACGCTCTACGCAATGTGCAAGCAACGGACCTGTTAAAGGCAGGTGCTGATCTCAAAGTATGGAGTGTGTACCCCTTTGCTACTTTTCGTACCACCATTGAACAAGAGTCATGGTCGGAACCTTTTCTAACCGAAGATACGTTCAAATTAATCGGAAGTCCAAAAATGCCGAAAACTGTGCCATGGATTGGTGGTTATACCTCGTCAATTGGTGAAGGCACAGTCATGGCGCTAAGGTTATCTACGGATCCGGATTTACAAGCTGACTTCAATAAGAATTTTTATTATTTATTCAAATTGGTGATTGAACTGAACGGCACAGAATATCCGGAAAGAGTTGATGAAGTAGTAGAGCGATTAGTGGTGGAATATATGGATGGAGTTCGTGAGTTGAATAAAGACACAATTGATGGCTTCTTAGAGGTAATTATGGCGCATAGTAAGTGTATACAATAATATCAATGTATTTTTGATTTCAATTAGCTTTTAGGTGATTGCTTTTTTACTTATCCATTATACAAAACTATTGCCAGTAATGTTAATTCTGGCGGTCAAGCAAATAGCCTTACGGGAATAATTAAATTCGGTTATCGCGGGCCATATACATTTACTGAGATTTTTACAGGAAGCTTGAGGAATTTAGGTGCTGTACATGTTGATGATTTCCTATATCTATATCGTATGCCATTCTTAGTTCCAAATGGATATGAAAGATCAACACCTGAGGCGGAGTTGGTTAAGAAATACGTGGCACTCCATGTTGAGTATGCAAAAACTGGGTAAGTACATATGGTAAATGTGATATTATTTGTTAGCGAGGTTCGGTTGCGTGATACACCCTACACGGGATAGTCTCGACTTAAGTCCATCAGTCATAAAATAATAAATTTTGTTGACAGAAATATTTTATTTTCAGCAATGTCGAAGCCTTTAATAAAGTGAGCCCTTGTTCGAAAGATAAATTTGACCGACCCGACCGACCAGCCATTTGCGATTATTTGTCGATTGTCAATGATACGGAATTATTTCAGGTTGGAAATAAGTGGGACGTGAAACGAATGAAGCTGTGGGAGTACGTAGATAAAACTCTCTTCGATATTTAAAGTAGATATGTTAAAACTGCACTTGTACAAAAACAAATGAAATATAATGTAATTAAACAGTTAATTTTACGGTATATATTAAGCTTTTTACGAATGCCAAATTATACCCATGAAACCAAGGTAATATAAATTAAATAAATCTATCCAGTATCTAGTAAGATACCTTTTTCTATAAAAATGTCTTAAATGAGCTAAATATTTATTATTAGGTAATTTATGAATTAAAATTATTATATAAAAACTGGAAGTAAAAAAATATGTCTATAAAAATGCGATCTGCTTCAACATCAATAGAAGAAAATGTAAAAAAAATGAAAGATATTCTATAATTACTATTGTAGAAAATATTTTTTTGGAGCACGCACCCTAATGTAAAAAATGTGCTCGTTTAGCTCATTCATTTGAAATCGTGTCGAAAAAATCATAAAAACACGACGACATAAGTAGGTTCGAAGAAGCACGTGTTTATGAAATATCCGTTTAAAATTATTTGTTTAGTATAACACTTTGGCATGAAGTTAGATCTCAAACCAATTGTTAAAGTCTATCGAATTATCGCAGAAATTAAAGGAATTACTTTGTTGTCAACGTATTTGGTGTATTGTTCGAATTTCTATCCGATAAGCGCCAGTTTGGCGAAGGTATGGTTTTGTAGGAAATTTCATCCTGTGTACTCGGCAGGTATGTACTTGTATGTATATGAGTGACAATGAGAGCGATTCATTTAAAGCTTTCTTTGGCCAAACTGCTTATCGGCGATTTGAGATTCAGCCTAAGTAAGACTAGTATACCTGTTCGATGGTAACAGCCTAATTAAAATCTAATTACAAAATCCTGAACTTTGTTCCACAATTACCACAATATCTATTTATTTTGGGCTGCATCACCATTAATTACCAGTAATGTTCTACATACACGGTGGTGGATTTTTTTCCGGCTCTCGGAGTCCCAACTATTTTGGATCACACTATTTTATGGATACGAACAAAGTGATTCTAATAGAGACCGCCTATCGCTTTTCTCTATTTGGTAAGTGATGAAAGATTTTTGTGCAAACATTTTTTGAAAAAAAAAGCAGATTATAACATATTTCATTGTAAAAATATATACCTCTATAACTATAAAGCAACCTCAGTCAAACTGTAATTTTTATATAAACACCTATTTAAAAATATGACTAATATTAGACATCCGATATAAAGTTAAGTGTTTCTAAAGTGGCTCATTTTTAAAATATAAAATATTACAATATTCCTCCGCATAACGGTTTTCAATTTTTTTTAGATTAGAGAGAAAAACTCATATCTCTCTTCCAACTAATTGAAAAACTATTCCGTTTCATAGATTTTGTAGGAAATTTAATGTTACGGAAACGGTTTACGAAAAACTCGTTCAAATTTGTTTTTTCATTTTAATTTTATAACTCAATGAAAACATATCATTTTAAATTGCAAAGCTCATAGTCTTGTAGAAAATTTTCTGCTCT